TTCCCTACACCCCACAGTCATTTGCAAGAACTCCTGGAGCTACCTTTAAAGTCTATCCCAGACCGACTACTTCTTATCAGCTCCATTGCTGTATTCCTAGTCCAACTGAATAGCTGACAAACGACAGTGCCATTCACTGAGATGGGGAAGTCTAGGGGGAAAGCGGCATCTGAGGTTAAGTCAAGAATGCTCTTGGGTTTAATATCTTATGAGGCATCCAAGTGGAGTTGGTGAGTAGTTAATTACGAGTGGAGCCTCAGTCCAGGACTGGAGTCATCAGCATGTAAGAGTGGAGGTATTGAAAGTCCTGGGAAGATACGGGGTCGTCAAGGAGCGTGAGAAATGTGGTCAAACCCTGGGCACTCCTCCACTGAGAGCACGTGAGGAGGGGGAACCAGAGATGAGGCTGACCAGGGGTGACCGATGAGATGGGACGGAAACCAGGGCAGCTGTGGCAGGTGACAGTGTTTCAGGAAGGACAGGGCTTAGCTGGCCCCATGCTGCTGGGAGGTTGCCTGAGTTGAGCACCAAGAAGGATGCTCAGTGAGATGGAAATTTGTTAGGTGACATTCACAAGAGTCGTTTGGTTGTGGATGGAATGCGGAGGATGGAAGCCTGGTTGGGGTGGTAAACTGGAGAAGAGGAGCCGGACGGGGACTATGGGCAACTCTCCGGTGAGGCTTTACTGTAAAAGGGAGCAGAGCTATGGATCTGTTATTCAGATGGGGTTTGGGTCAGTTCCAATTTGTGTATGTTTTTGTTTGTTTGTTTTTTGTTTTTTTGCAGTACGCGGGCCCCTCACTGCTGCGGCCCCTCCCGCCGCGGAGCACAGGCCCCGGACGCACAGCCCCAGCGGCCACGGCCCACAGACCCAGCCACTCCGCGGCACGCGGGATCCTCCCAGACCAGGGCACGAACCCGCGCCCCCTGCATCGGCAGGCGGACCTCCAACCACTGCGCCACCAGGGAAGCCCTGTATGTTTGTTTTAAGATGAGAGATACCACAGTATGTTTGCTGAAGGAAATGACCCAGAAGACAGGGGCAGGGCTTCCCTGGTGGCGCAGTGGTTGAGAGTCCGCCTGCCGATGCGGGGGACACGGGTTCGTGCCCCGGTCTGGGAAGATCCCACATGCCGCGGAGCGGCTGGGTCCGTGAGCCATGGCCGCTGAGCCTGCGCATCCGGAGCCTGTGCTCTGCAACGGGAGGGGCCACAACAGTGAGAGGCCCGCGTACTGAAAAAAACAAAAAAAAAGACAGGGACATTTTGGTGACACAGGAACTAGGAATAATAAGGAACAAAATCGGTGGCTGAGCAGGTGAAAGGCGGTGGGATAGAAAGACCAAAGGAGCGGGAAGTGGGGGGGGAGCAGGGACACTGCCTGCAGGTTGGCACATTTTTAGAGGATGGAGGAGGTGGGCGTTCCCGTGATAATCCTGGGAAATAGGCAGGGTGTGAGTCATTCTTCTCATTTCAAAGATGATCAAACTAAGATTCAGTTAAAAGCCTCACAAAGCAGCAGCAGAGTGAAGACTCAGCCCAAGTATCCTGACTCCCAGTTTTGGGCTGTTGAAATGACACCACGGTTTCTATAATGATCCTTCGCATTTGGTGGAGCTGAAACTGATTCAGACCTAATTAGGTAGACTTGGAGCCCAGAGCCTGGGGTTCTCATTCTCCCGCTGTCGCGGGCCTCTGGGTGTTGGTGAAATTCTCCGAGCCTGCGTTATCTTGTTTCTAAGATGGAAGCACTCCTAACTGCCTGCCAGGTGTGTTATAAGAATCAAAGGAAATAATATATGTGCTTTGTACATGGAAGAGTGCTTTCTATACACATGTCGGATGATGAGTCATGGGGTTGTAGCTCAGGCTAAAGAGATTCAGAAACCTGCTAGGCAGAGCTATTTTGAAACGTGTGGCAAGGACCAGAACGTAAGCTTTGCCTTGCTTATGTAATGTGACAGAGTAGCCAGTGTTAAACACCAGCAAGTTTGGTAAGTATCTCTGTACTTGTAGTAATAGTGAGAATCACGCCACTTCAGAAACGTGTGAAAACTGCTTAGAGGATGCCAGTCTGTCAGCACAGATGGGGGCGGGGGCTGAGGAGAAAAGGGTAGGGGCAAAGCTCTTAATGAATATTCAGACCTAAACTTTGTCATCTGTTTCATCATTGTCACCAGTCTTGTTGCCCTTCTGCGTGACACTGGACCCAAAGCACGTTCCTGCACGTTATAATAGTATTGATACATAGAGTTAGAGAATGCGAACTGATTATATTGACCTGTATCTTATATTTTCAAAATTATGTCATGGGGCTGGGAGTTTTGTTTAGAATTTAAATAGTGTGAGTAAACTACCACATATAAGTTACTGCAATGTAATGTGAAGTTCATTCCAATTGAGAGCTTTTATTGCTTTGTGTGTATATATTTGAAATTTTCTAGCTTTAATCACATTGTATTATCACTGAATTAATAGAAGGTTATTCGTACCTTTGTGTACTTGTTATGGAGCTATAAAGGGTGGAATTTAGAAAACTATTTAGTTTGTGTTAAAAGCCCCCTTTCCTTGCATTAACATTACTTGACTTCCAAGTACAGCTAAACATTGCAAAATTAATGACAATTTTCTTTGAGGAGTTGATTTATTATCTTAACACTTTTTTTTTAGTGTTATGTGTTCTAAAATAAGTTTGGTCAAAGAATCACTTGTGTAACCTCTGGTAAAATATAGGTCTTGAATTCATTTTAAGAATTCTAAGGTTTTAAGGTTTCTACTGGATACCGATCCATAACATTTGGCCTCTATAGGCTTTTGGTGAATAATAAAGTTTTTTTATTTAGTGAAACACCTTAGGGCAAATGTTATTGGCTTCAACTCAGGAAATGAGAATGCCAACAAATGTTGCTAGTAAGCATTATTAAGTGGACATTTATAATATTCTTCATTTATCTGGACATCTTGACACTTTTCAGGCTTTCTTTATGGATGTTCATTATTTTAAGTTTGTTCTGGAAACTTCTTGGTGAAATTATCTTGCTTCAACATGTAAATGGAATTTCATTTTTTATTTTAGGAGGCTGATTCCACTGAAGTATCTGCCAAACCAAAGAGAAGTTTTTATGCTGCGAGGGATTTGTACAAATACCGACACCAGTACCCAGTAAGACTATAGAATTTTTTTTTCTAAAGTGTAAAATATTTCCCTTCTGTTTTTGTTACTTTGTGGTGCCAGTGAGCAAATGTGCAAGGAAGGTCCTTTTTTTTTCTGTGGTACGCGGGCCACTGTTGTGTGCTCCGGTCCGGAGCACAGGCTCCGGACGCGCAGACTCAGCGGCCATGGCTCACGGGCCCAGCTGCTCCGCAGCACGTGGGATCCTCCCGGACCGGGGCATGAACCCGTGTCCCCTGCATCGGCAGGCGGACTCTCAACCACTGCACCACCGGGGAAGCCCCTTGTGCCTTTTTTTATATGTCCATATGCTGGAGATTGATTTATGTTTTCCTTTAGCAGAACTTCAAAGATATCCGATATCAAAATGACTTGAGCAATCTTCGTTTTTATAAGAATAAAATTCCATTTAAGCCTGATGGTGAGTAATCCGCTGCCTTGGTAAAAAGCAAACTTTAAATAGTAGTACCGCTAGTCGTTCTTTGTTCATTCCATGGTTGGTGCATTCATTGTTCATTGACTGGCTTTACTCTGCCCTGCCGTCCACTGTGTCCCCAGAGTCCTAGACCCTTGAGCTGTGAGCATCTGCTCAGCAGATTCTGGGGGAGTAACTTGAGGATTAGCAGTCCTTCCCACCACCTGTTTACAGTGGCAACTACCATCTGAAAGGTAGTGGGGGCCATTTTTGTGAGAGGAAAAGAGGAGATTTTGAGAACCATAGAATATTAGATTATTAAGGACCCATAAGGGAGATCAGATTCAGTTTCCTCATTTTAAAGATGAAGTTTCTGGGTCTTGATGACCGACTAATCATAGACTTGATCATAGACTTGGATCTGGGCTCCAGAGTTCGGTGTTCTTTTCACTGTGCCAAACTCGGAAAATCTTTGGAACATAATTGAAAGGTGGTTTTCCTATTAGAACAGTCTTTCCAGATTCAAGGTCAGGGAGCTAGAGCAGCCCCAGTTCAGCATTCCAGCATCCCAGGGAGGGAACTGCAGACACTGTAGATCTCCATGCAACTCTGTCAGATATACTGGCCCTCCTCCACACTCTACAGTTGCCCTCCCAGGATCTTTCCTAAACCTTTAGTGAGAGGGTGCAGTCTCCGTGGTAATACGCATGATTCACCCAGGCACCAGGCCGTGGTTCATGGTGGGCGTCCTCATTTTATCCAGGTCAAACCAGAAAGCTGGCTGCTCCCCGTCCGTAGAGCCCTTATCTCTGTGAGGTGACCAGATGGCCCTGGCGGCTGCTCTTTCCTCTCAGTGGAAACCCAGCCAAATCCCCCACAGTGTGAGTCAGGGAACGAGGGTCATGGATTGCAAAGCTCTCCGAGTGGCAGGACCTTGCATTCTTTGATGAACTAACTGGCTGAAGAATATCTAAGGAATTCCCTATATTTGTGCACTGGCAGACGCACCAGTTGGAAATTAGGATGTAAGAACATTGCTGCAATGGCCAGATCCCCTTATCTTTAGTTCATTTCTGGTGTCCCAGAAGTCTGCCCTGTTTTGGAAGGAGCCCTCTAGATAAAATTGTCCTGTTTTATTGACTGACGGTAGAAAGGTACTGCTTTATTTACTAATTGAAATAGTATTAATTAAATTAGTTGGTTTTTTAGGACATGGAGTAAGAAAACCTTTTGAAGAAATGCAATGATCGATAGGTAATTTGACTCTGATGTAAATTTAAAAAATTTTTCCCAAAGGAATGCCTTCAAAATATTAAAAACATTGAACATAGAGATGACAATATTTAACTCAATTATTTTTATGTTTCTAACAGTGAATTTATTTTTGAGGTGGTAATTTAGAGTGATAACTTAAAGCAGTGCATTAATTTTTTGTAATCTTTATCACAAAAGTTATTTGGAAATCTTGTAAGACTGGTAGAGGTCAGAAGTTTTAGCTAAGGTCACATAAAATGTTATTCTAGTTTATTATATAAATTACATCAACTCTCACTTTCCTTCCCAGTATGTGTGAACACACACACACACACACACACACACACACACACACACACATCCCACGCTTGTCAGTAAGCATAAGGCTGCAATGATGTATGTTACTTATTAAGTAGGAGGAGGGATAGATGGAAGGGGAAACAAATGGGAGATTATGGAGGTAAATGGCTTCAACATGCTGATGATTAAAAAACAGCCTTTTACCAAATACCCTGAGTGTGGACCTCTAGTACAAACGTGATCTCTGGAGGAACCGAGAAGGAGATGAGTTACGTTTAGAAAGATATTAGGTTGTTGTGTCTTTTCCTATAAAATTGACTAAGTGGCCGCACAGTCAGTTGTGACTAGACAGATTTGGGAAGCAGAGGATTTTGCCGTGATAAGTTCTTATAGGAGAAGAACTGGATGTGGTGAAGAAGAGGGCTTACGTTTCAGAACCAGAAAGACCTGTGTTCTACTCCTGGTTTTGTTAGTGTGTGACTGAGCAAATCACACCATGTCCTCAGTGGTAAAGCGGGGTTGGTGACGCTGTTTTGAGACGGTGCTGGGTGGATTCAGCGGGCTGGCTACACCCTGTGTAATCCCGGCCCCTGCCACTAGGAGGCGCTCACCACCATTTCCTTTCCCTTTTCTCTCCTCCCTTTCCTCCTTTTCCCTGCTTCTCTCCTTTCTCTTCTTCCCATCTTTGTCTCCTTCCTTTCTTTTTGCCTGGCACACATTTCATTTTTATTTGATCTAGTATTTCAAGAACTCTATGGCCCTCCAGGGCAGGGGTTGGCCAGCTTTCTCTGTACAGAGCCAGAGAGTAAATATCCTCAGCTTTGCAGACCACGCAATCTCTGTTGCACCTACTCAACTCCCCTGTTATGATAGAAAATACGTGAATGGATGTGCCTGGCTGTGTTCCAATAAAGCTTTATTTATAAAACAGATGGCAGGCCATAGGTTGCCAGCCTCTGCTTTAGAGTAACTGTCCAGTAGCGCTTTCTCCGATCTGAGGTGCCATAAATTTTTTTTTAGAATTAGACTTATTACATAACAGAGTATATGGCATAGGGTATTCAACTTCCAAAAGCATTGTTGTTGTGTGCTGTTGTTAGGTTTTAACATAAGGCTTAAGCGATTCAGTCTTAAAATGCCTCCAACAGTGTTTTACACGTCTGGTTCGTGTTCTAAATCTTTGCTCTTTAGGTGTTTATATTGAAGAAGTTCTCAGTAAGTGGAAAGGAGATTACGAGAAGCTGGAATACAGCCACACCTACATCCAATGGTCAGTCGTGTGCTCTGTCTCGTACCTGTTTCATCTTGTGTGTCTCCCAGGCAACATTAATATAAAAATATTATTTTTCTAAAACGTAGGCTTTTCCCCCTGAGAGAACAAGGCTTGAACTTTTATGCTAAAGAACTAACTACGTATGAAATTGAGGTAAGGCAAGCTCATTTCATTTGGTGTGAATTAGCCAAATAATATTGCCATTTGATGGCCCTGGTAAGTCCGAGTCACCCAGCTGACTTTTCTTTTTTTCATTAGGAATTCAAGAAAACAAAAGAGGCAATTAGAAGATTCCTCTTGGCTTATAAAATGATGTTGGAATTTTTTGGAATAAAACTGGTAGATAAAACTGGAAATGTTGCTCGGGCTGTTAACTGGCAGGAAAGGTTTCAGCACCTGAACGAGTAAGTAAAGCCCCGCAGTGCGACCCAGCGCAGTGCGACCCAGCGCAGTGCGACCCAGCGCAGTGCGACCCGGGCTGGCGTGGTGTTTTCCCCGGGTTGGAATTCTCTATGGCGGCTTATAGAACAAGCAACAGATGGACTCAGGAATCTGAATTCAAAAGCTCGTCTGAAATGCATTTTATTCCTGTTCTGTATTCTAAAGCAAAACAAAGTAGCAGCCAAAAATGAATGACATTCCAGGTAGAAACGCGGCTGCTCGGTTTCAGAGCTGTTTCTTCCTGAAGCATCTCCGCTGCCCCCAGCCAAGTGTGGCCTCGCTCCCTCTTTACACCACTTTGCTTGGCCTTTGCGGTTGTTGTTTGTGTACACTTTTCCAGACCCATCCCCTAGGTTGTGAGATTCTGGTAGCTTAGCATGCTTCTCACGCACAGTGCCTTCTTAGATTAAATCCATGAATTAAGCCTATGACATATAAAAATCATTTCATAAGACTGACAGGTACTCATACATTTTACTAAGAAAGAGGGGAAAATTAGAATCTTCGCCATATAGGTCAAAACCAGAAGCCCATTTTTGGTTAATAAAGCCAAACACCTGGAAGAAAATTTTACCAGTTTATTTGGAATTGATTTGCTATATTCTTTTTTTTTTTTTTTTTTTCCGGTACGCGGGCCTCTCACTGTTGTGGCCTCTCCCGTTGCAGAGCACAGGCTCCGGACGCACAGGCTCAGCGGCCATGGCTCACGGGCCCAGCTGCTCCGCGGCACGTGGGATCCTCCCGGACCGGGGCACGAACCCATGTCCCCTGCATCGGCAGGTGGACTCCCAACCAGTGCGCCACCAGGGGAAGCCCTGCTATATTCTTTTGCTTGGATATTTATAACTTTCATTAACGCTTATGCCCAAAGTTGGGGTTTTTTAATTATTATTTTCTTTGCATGCAAACTGGCTTCTTTTTCTTTTTAATTATAGGGTGACTTATGAGCACTGGACTATAAAACCAACTTTAAACATTTTTAGCACATTGTAATTAGCTGAACTGGGCAAGTACTAAGAGAAAAGAAAAAATTAAAACCTAAGAAATTTTTCTTTGCCCCAAACAGAATTTTTTGCATTGCTTAACTAAATTTTTTGTGCTTTCCTAGAACTTTTATCTTGCTTGTGTAAAATAAGTATGAGTACAATATTAATGTTTAAGCCTTCCATTTATTTTATTAATTATAATCAATGCTGTAGCTTGCACTAAAACACGCAGGATATGGGCATAAAGCTTTATGATCTTGACTAGAAGACCCATTAACTCATAACTCAATTTCACTTTGATTTCTGTAGAGCACTTACAGCAGAAGTATATATGCCTCTGCCTAAGCAATGCAGGTAGCTATCTCTGGGCAGAGTTTCTAAGCACTTATGTCAGACTGTGACAGAAAGCTGTGTGCAAGTAGACTGTTGACATGAAGGACGGCAGAAGGCAGCCTTTGAAGAGGATCTGGTAGCATCTCATCTTCCATGTACCCACGACTGTCGTTTTAGAGAATCTCCACCTGGTTTTGTTGTGGTCGGAATAGCAATCATACTTAGTAAATGTTTGTTGAATGAATAATGAGGAACAAAACAGGTTTGTCTGCCTAAATCCTCCTTGGGGTTTTATTGTCAGATCCTCAAATTAGTAGCTGGAAGCCGCCCTTCTGAAGGCTGTTGTTGAGTGATGGCCTAGCTTGGCACGGGGAGGGGAACCTGACCCCTACTGCCCCATGCTGCTCCCTTTCTTTCCACCATCATTTTTCCTTTCCGTGGGTATTGCTTACAGCTTTTATTTGTGTTTTAAGCAGTATGACATCTTGAGGTTTTCACAGTAAGCAGGGAACTCAATACATTTATCGTAGCCTAGCGAATAAAAAATATTGAATGAAAATCAAGTGAAATAAAGTTTAGTGAACAGGTGATCATGACTAAAAGAGGTAAAACATTTTCAAACACGAGAGTGCAGATATATAGACCAACCACTAAGATGGATTTCCAATTTTATTTGTAATCACCTTGGATTACGGAGCTGTAATCACCTTGGATACGGACCCTGGAATCCCCTCTCACTTTTACTTTCTGTCTCCTGTTTCTTGGCTTTTGTGTGTCCTTTCCTCGCTAACCTGCTCTTCCTGACAGCTTCAGCCCTTCTTACTACCCTTACCGCTGTCTGGAAGCCCAGCTTCTCTCTTTTATCTGCTACGCAACCCCAAAGTCTACTCACAACTCTAGGAGTGTGGGGTTTTTTTTTTTTTGTATTTCTTTGTGACATTTATTTCAAATCATACTGAAACACCCGATTTCTTTCTTGTATAATTTTGTTCTATAATCCTGATCTCCATTCTCTTTAACCCAAGTGTTTGTCCTTTTCTACTGTTATGTAAACTTTTTAATTGGAGAACGTGTTGATACAGATAAGTGTGCACAGAAATTTTATCTTGATCATTCATCCTGGACTGGATATGTGAAATCGAGCTGCTTGCAAATATAGTAAATTTTGTTGTGTCGTGTAACTCTTCTTTGGGATTTTTAAAGGAAAACATTCTTCCGCTTTTCCATATCTCTATTTCTCATAGACTTATGAAGCAGATGTTGGGATTTTACCACCAAGTTTTTAGAGTATGCAAACTCTACATTGGATCAGTCTTGCTGATAAAGACATTGTCTTAACTTCACTCAAATTCGTATTGTCTCAAAAGACTGGTACTTCCTAACTATTAAAAAATACAGATTCATAAAACTGAAATGTATCTGGGCTACGTTGTACCCTTTGGCCTTCAAAGTGCCGAATAGTAAGAGAACACTATTTTGGTAAACACCCAGAAGCCTGGAGATAATGAAAACTGCTGGACTTGTCATTTCTAGCGTCTGGTGAGCCCACATCATTAAGGGTTTAGTTTTGTCCAAACTAACTCTCTTCTTAAAATATAAGGCCGTGGAACCACGCCCTTCCATCCCTCAAATAATTCAGTATCCTCCTCCATGCTTCCCAAATAAGTTGCTAGTTATTCCTAAGTGAATACCAAGCACTTGTGGAAGCCAAGGCAGGTGTATGCGATGCTTGTCTAAAGTTCAGTGTCTGAGGTATAGACAGGTTTGGGGAAGTGAGGAATAAGTGGTACAATATTGGGTGAGTAACTAACCCGGGCTGTTGATGACACACATGATGAATACATGGACCTGAAGGTTCCCTTAGGATGCAGCCAGGTATTTGTAATAAAGCAACTCTTGGGCTGAGTGAGGTAGGGGGGCAAGATTATGAATCGTGACAAAAGCTAATGGCTTTAGTTTGGGGACGAAAAAAGAAAGATGTTAGTGCAGTCTGGGGAAAGAGGAGTCTTTGCAGTCAATGCCATTAGAAGCAAAATTTAACATTCTGTGATAGGGCAAGAGGAGGTGGGAAAGAGGAGGTGAGAGAGGCCACAGACAGAATGAGGTGATTAAGGTGGGATAGGTACACATATGGTAGTCCTTAGTACCAAATCTGAATAATACCAATACCAATAATTATATTGATGTTAAATAGTGTCTGAAATTTATTGAGTTCCACATGCTCTGCATATATGTCAGCTAATTTGATGCTTACAAGTGCAGTGAGCCGTGGGCCCTTTCCCCCACGTTACAGATGAGGGTACTTGAGCCTTAGAGGTGCCGTGATCTCACATAGCTGTTGGTAGCACAGCTAGGGTGTGAATTCAGTTCTGACTCCAAAGCCTACACTCTTTGCTCTGCTAAATAAGTCAGTTCTGCCTCCTTTGTCAGAATTGTTCCAGCAAGGTAGAATGGTTTCTGCTGCTTTCCTTCTGAGTTGGTTGATATGGCGGGTTCTGCTGGCCCTCTGACCCTGTAAGTCGTACATTCAGCTGGTAACCAGTGCTCAGCTCTGTTTACCTGTGACAGGTACGATACATTTCTGTAGTAGATAGTCATCCTCAGTGTATTTAACAAACAGCAATTCGACATCCGTGGGAATACATTTAAAATCTAAATGTTTTTCAAGTACGAAGAACTAAAGGAAAAAGGAGAATTTATTTTATGCGTTGGAGTTTTACATAGATTGGCGTTGCACTGAGGTACAGGGGTTTCACATCTTCTGTTTTATTATTCTTAGCGGTGTCTACTACGACTTTTAGCAAAGTCATTACAAGGCATGTTTTCCCAGCTTATGCTTCCATCAGAAGTGGTTTCCCAGTGGTTTTTATGCCCCCGCTTTCCGCCACCTAATTTTCCTCCTTCGTTGTATTCAATCCTCTTCCAGGTCTCAGCACAACTATTTAAGGATCACTCGTATTCTGAAAAGCCTCGGCGAGCTTGGATATGAAAGTTTTAAATCTCCTCTTGTAAAATTTATTCTTCATGAGGCTCTTGTGGAAAATACCATCCCCAATATTAAACAGAGCGCACTGGAGTATTTCGTGTACACAATTAGAGACAGAAGGGAGAGGAGAAGACTCCTGCGGTTCGCCCAGAAACATTACACGCCCTCGGAGAATTTTATCTGGGGACCACCCAGGAGGGAACAGCCCGAGGGCAGCAAAGCCTCGAAGACCCCCGCCCCGCCCACCTCGGGGCATCACAGCCAGACGTCTATGCACAGAAAACCCAAGGACTCCAGAAATCCCTCTGCAGCTGGGCGTGGAAATAGCAAAGCTGCCGGAGACAAGAAAGTGGCGCCTAGGGAGCCGGGGGAGGAGACAGACTGGCCCAGCTCAGAGGCCGGCAGCAGCGAGGCTGCCAGGCCAGGAGACCCAGAGAGAGAGGGTGATGCCGACAATTCCAGTCCTCAACCAGAAGAGACAGTTGCGCATGCGCTGGAGAAAAAGGAGCGTGCGTCTCCCTCTGAAAAAGATGAAGAGCGTGAAAACGGTAACAAGGACTGTGAAAGTCCCGGAGAGACAGGTTCCCACGATGACGCACTCTCACGGTGAATCATCAGGAAGCCCACAGAGCCGTGTTGGGTGAGGAGCAGAGGCCACGTTTCGGAGGGTAGCCGGCTGTTGGTGATCTCTGTTGTAGGCGTGTAGTTGTCACTTGGTTTTGATTTTGGATGACAATGAATTTAATATTTAAGCAGAAGTCTGAAGACAGGACCCAATTCATGAATGCATTCTGTAACACTTTGGGGACGTGAGTTTTCGAATCCTGTACACAACAATTACTTTTAAATTATTTTCAGTGTATCTGGAAATAACCATGTAGTCTTCGATATAGCAAATAAATTCTTTGGAGAGACTCCGCTCTACATGAAGAAAATCAAGCGGATCATTTCGTTAGATTGCCACCCCTTTGCCCGATTTATGGATTCCTTTTTTTTTAAGCTGCGAGAAAGAATTTGGTCTTCTCAGATGTATTCGGAAGAAATTGGGAGTTTTTTCATTACAGCACCTCAGCATGCTTATTTTTAGTTTCTGGTAAGTGGGATGGATGTTCTTGGGGAGATATACTTGTCTCGCCCTGTTTGTCAGTCCTGCTGTTTTTCCTCTTCCCCTCTCCATTCTCTCCCTCGTTGGCCACCTGTGTCGGCTGGCACGCGCATTTCTAGTGTACATTCGGATGATCTACTACAGTGACATTTACGTGGCATAGAGGGGACTGTCGGCTGTATTATTTCAAGAATTTGTTTAAAATAATAAAAATGGTTTTCTGTGTTAAGTGCTTAAAAACAAATTTTGATGCAAAAGTCCAAGAAGAGAATTTTGCCTTCTGTGGCTGCTCTGTACAAATTTGGTGCTTGTTTCTGAATGCAAATGACTAAAGAATTAAAAAATAAGAAAGGAAATTATTCGTTTTCAAAAGGCATGCATCTGGCACTGGCAACAAGGCAGTGGTCCTAAGACCATGAATATCTCAGTGTTATGTAGACTATGACATTAATGTGGCTTAGTCCACAGTATATCTTTAGAAAAAATATAATCTGCTGCATCTCTTAAGTTGTCAAAGCTTGAAATTGAGAACAGACTGGACATCCCATATATTCAGTTTTAGTGAGCACTGAATGTGTTAATATTGGGTAAGAGCAAATAACTTTCTTGCTTATACTATTATTACTAATTATTACACATTCGAAAACAGTCAAACACTGTGGTGAGAACTTCAGCACATATGTACAAATAATAGTGAAAGCAATTCACAGAAAAAATTGTTTTTCACTTCATTTCATTTAGAAAGGAATTGGCTTTTGTGTGTTTCTTAGCCCCTTAAGGGAAGTTCTATTCACTTTAACCCTCAGAGAATTTTTACTGTGTCCTATTTTTAAATCACTTTATGTCGTCTTCTGTTACCTTTATTGACCAGAGGATTTTTAGCAGAGGGTTTCTAGAAAATAGACACACAAGTAGTATGCTTTAGAAGGGTTACATTGCCTTGAAGTTTACATGAAGCATCACTGTTGCTCAAATCTGACGTTTTATATGAATGTTAGTAACGCTCGTGTTATATATTGTATTCCAATAAATATAGAATATTTTTTCACTATCATTTCTCATAATATGACAGTTTTTGCTTTCTACCGTTTTGTGAAGTGAGCATCAGGATTTGGGGAAACAATTCTGCTTTTGCATTTCAATTTCTTTTTTTTTTTTCACATGGACCATCTAATGGCCCCATCGAGCTCAATAAACAGTTTTACAGCTTAGGGCATGAGAGTAGGTTGTCACATTGGGCTGAATTGTAGGAATATGATTCATTTGCAATACCTTACCAATTCTGCATACATGATAAAATGTTCACACCACTTTCTAAGTGCATAATGTTAAAATTTTGTGACGAGATATTAAAATATTAATAAGTGGACAGATACTAAAAGAAATGGGTATAATCTAAATCACTTAGAAACTAGTAGTATATCAGAACCCTTAGAAGTAAAAATGTTTCATTCAATAATTTAACTTTTAGCGTATTCCTAATTAGGGATTTGATTAGATTGTACTGTTTAATTTGAGAATATTTAGTCTCAAGGGAAAACTGCCTGGCTTCCACTTAAAACAGTGGCCTTTTTCTACCATGTTGTTTTGAGATGCATACTCACGTGAAACAGTATGATTCCTACGCTTAATCTGTAAATAACTTATGAGAGAATTCTTCAGTGGAAACAAGTGAGAGGATGGCATTCCTTTTGCAGATAAAAATTATGAACGTCTAGAGTTTTTTTCTATTGAGAATACTCTGTACATTCAATAGTTTTAAAATAAGATCTATAGGTGTGTCTTTAGGTGTGTGTGTTACGACATGAAACACCCTCTGGGTTTTGACTGTGACGTTTTGTATTTTTAAGAACTACCATGTGCTTGCAGGAACTTACTAAGAAGCTGTTATAAAAACGCAGTGGAGCATGGCCAAATGACTCGCAACTTTATTGAATTTTTGTGAATATATAGACTTTATCATTGTACCATGGACTGTGAATATACTAAGTATTGGCTATTGATAAAATACTAATTTGCATTTCAGGCAAATAGATGTTACACCGCTTGGTTAGTCTAGTATATTTCTAATATTTTGTGCTTTCATATCCCAAAGGAGACGATACATGTGAAAATATTTTGAAATACTGTAAAGTGATATATAATGGCAAAATATATTTCTGTAGAGAAAAAATTTATAGCATAAAGAGTATTGTACCATTATACATCCTCACGCTCAATCTCATAAGAAACTGAAAAGAATCATGACAGAACTGAAAATATGTCTGCTTTCTCTAAGTCAAGGTCCAGTTCTCAGTTCAAAAATTATTTGGTATAGTTTTATTTTGAATTTTAGTTTTGAGAAACAACCTTTTTCAGTTTCAAGGAGAAAACAAAACTTATGACTCTGGAGTTACCAGAGAAGTTCTAAGATTTTTTGCTAAGTATTAAAAATATAAAGATTATGTTTAAAAATTACCTACTTTGTTTCTAGTTTTTACACTTTAACCTGACAGAAGGAATGCTCTGGTGAAAAAGGAAAAATATTGTAGTACAGTATTACATTTGAGTTACTCTCTAAAAAATCATTTTAGAAAGTAAACTTCCTTATCAAGTTGTCAAAAATTTGTTGAACTGATGGAGAGGGAATATTTGTTTAATTGTTTAAAGTTAAATTTCCCAAGTTTATAGTAGAGTTATGGTTGAGTGTATAATCTACTGAGTAACTAAATCAAGCCAGTTTCTTTGTCTTTCTATAATTGAGGCTCTTCTAAAAGCTTTATTTTCTAACCTGAGAAAAGAAGGGCATTCTTGATCTTGCTTGATTGTAATTGCATCTGTGGGTCTCTCAAGTTTATTTGGGGTGAGTGGGGACTCTTTGTTATAGGAGTAGTTTTGAAGATTTCTATTTTGTTTCCCACTTAAAACATTCCCATTTTTTTTTTCCTTTGGGGTATATCCATTAAGTGTAAGGTAGGCTGACGTTAGACAAGCAAGAATCATTTCAAATGTAGGTGCAGTTGTAGAAAACGATGGCCTGGGTCAGTAGGATCTGGAAAATTAGGGGTGTACAAAGGGTTGACTTCTTTCAATTTAGAATTCTTTAATGTTTATTCCATGAGCATATTTGTTGAGTAATCTCTAGGGTGACAGTGAGTACACCCTGCCTCTTTACCTGTTCCAGCCCACCCAGCAGACTGTGCTTAGGTGTTAGGCTGTTTCTAACGATGTGTGTTTTAGAAATTCCTTATTACTGAAGTTAATAATAGAGTAATATAGTTATAAATATGAATGCCTGGAGGTGTCCAGATGTGCCTTAACTAATGTGAATGCTTTTCATTCAGAAGTTTAAATTTTTACTCCATTATAAAATCTTGCCATAAGAAATATTCCAAACCGTGAAGATCAGTTAATTTAATGAAATTTACTTTCGTGCTTTTTCATTTTGGAGACATTTCCATTTGTATCAGTAGCATCAGTTCAAAAGGAAGTGTACTAGCCACAGTGTTCAAAAATGTGTTACATTTGAGAAAGAAGTAAGATCTTACAGCAGAAAGATTAACTTCATTGTTACGTTTATTTATGCTTCCGCCTAATTTTGCTACACCCTGTAATTTTCATTGTAAACATCTCTCAGTTACTACAAGTAATATTAATCTGTGTTTTACTTTTGCTTTTAGATACGGAGGGATGTAGAGAATGGAATTCTATTAGAGAAATGATTTAAAAGTTTAATTCCAGTAGATAGTTGGAGGAATCTGAAATTAATTTGGACTTTTATGCTGTAGTTTTATTAGAAACATTTAAACAGTACTTGTTCTTGCTTTTTCCCTAGATTAGAGAGAATGTTTTTTGTCATCTTCTGCTTCTTCCCTCATCTGTTGAGAAGTTTATTGTTTTAGTTACTTGTGGGAAATAACTTCTTAATATGTTTCCCTGAATTAAAGTGTTCATGTGGAGGATACAATTAACTGCTTCGTTTTGTGGCCCAAACTCTGCTTGGAGGTTGAGTTCAGAGATGGGGAGGTGGCTGAGAACCAGAGTGGGCGTCTTGGTGAAGGGGCACGTACACTGGGCTGCATCCTCTCCAGTGGAGGAGGGGTCTCCAGAGCCTCCCCTGGATGCCGAGGGTGTCGGACCCCGTGATCGCTGTCTTCTGAGGAAGGTGGGCCACCTTGGACTTCATGCACAGTTTCACTGGGTATCAATTTTCATAAAATACCTGTTATAATTCATTCGTCACCATTTTGCAGTTGTTTAGGAAATTGTGAGCAGTTGGACACCTGCTATGTAAATTACAGCTGAATCTTTCTATCTCGGGAAACATTGAAATACCAGTTCTGCCTACCCCTCTCACCAGTTCAAAGCTTCTGATCTTCCATCAAAAATTATTTGGGGTTGTTCTTTCAGAGGTCGCTATACAAAATTCTCCATAAAATGATTTAGTGGAAAGACGAAGTGAAAGGGAAAAGGCACCAGTGTGCACTTGTTATGCTGAGAGAACGTTTTTAGACAAATCAGAAACC